CAAACTTCGTCTCTCATACTTTGGACATATTGTTAGGAGGGACCAGTCACTGGAGAGGGATTTGGTAAGGTGGAGGGTCAGAGAAGAGGAAGACCCCCAGCAAGATGAATTGGCAAAGTGGCAGCATCAGTGGGCTCAAGCATGACAATAATTGTGAGGTAGGCCCAGGATCAGGCAGTGTCTCATTCTGTTGTGCATAGGGTCACTATGAGTCAGTACCAACTTGATGGCACCTAACAACAACAACAATGCGATGGCTGGAACTGCAGTTACATTGGTAGGGCCAGACCAAATGATTTCTGGGGCCGGATGTTTCCCACCTCTGCTCTAGAGAAACTCTGACACATGCAAACAGGGACAGAGGTAAATGATATTTCATACAGTGAAAATTTGGAAACAATCTAAAATCCCATTAATGAAAGGTTGGTAACATAAAATGAATGCTGGGGGTGGGGGTGGGGGTGGGGGAATGACACTAATCATGCCTCCTACAGCACTCTCTATTTCTCATCTGGGTTTGATAATTCATTGCAATGATCACACAGAACTCAAACACCATCCTCACATTTATGGGGCTTGTTAAGAAAGTTGTTGTTGTTAAGTGCCATCGAGTCAGTTCTGACCCATAGTTACCCTGGATAGGGTTTCTGAGGAGCAGCTAGTGAGCTTGTACCACCAACCTTGCAGTGCAAATGGCTTTGCAGTCTGGCGCATTAACCCACAGCACCACACCAGGACTCCATTAAGAAAGTTAGCAGGTTATACTTCAGGGCCAGAAATGTTCAGGGCACAATTCTTCTAGTCAGGATAGCTTATCCTTTATGTGTTTGCAGCCAGGTCACTCTCTGGCCTTAGCCCCTTGGCCTGTCCTCTACCCTGCTCTGCCAATATTACAAAACTCTATTAGGACTGCCAATAAATGCCAACAGAGTACACTACTTCACCATAAGCCTCAACCTGAAGGCACTTGGCTCTAGTTCCCTGGGCCAGCAAACGTAACTCCTCACTTAAGTGTTTAGGAGCATCCCACTCTACAAGCAAGCCTTTTCCCCAAAGTCACATAGCTTTGCTTGCTCCATGAAATCCACCCTTGTGCTCTGAGATGGCTCATTTTAAACCCAGTGTGGTAACAATTTTTTACAATCACTCACAACTGAATCATATAATCCTATCAGTATCTTCCCCTGTCTACTCTTATCCAGAGCCATCAGGAAAAAGACATTTGGTTGTATTTTAAAAGACTTGGCTAGGAAATACATATTAAATAAATCACTGCACCACAGTTAGACAATGGAATATCACATATAAGATCAAATGAATGATCTATAATATGACCTACAATGAGGTTCAAGTTGAATAGGGAAGGAAGAAAAGTCAGGAGGAAGCTGCTGATGAAGGAAACAGATCAAGAGACTAGAAATTTATATGAGTATATCTTAAACCTCCAATGTTGATTGAAAAGGAAGTTGCTAAAAGACTTACAATATTATGTATATGAATTTTCAAACTTATAGTACCACATATTATTTATGGATACATTCAGATATAAGTGAAATACAAAATCGGGATTAAAATTATATATGAGAGTAAGTTTAAAAAATATATACTGTTACTAGGGATCCAGTTCATATGTGCATGAGTTTATTCCAAACAAAATGTGTTTAAACAAATCCCTGCAATCTGTGGATTCCTGCAGACAAGTTCTCTCAGTAATACACTTGTCTTTCAAAGTGGAAGTAGCATAGAGGAGAAGCTACAAATTGTAGGGAAGTAAGCTGTCATATAATGGTATTTCCAAACTTCTCAGGTATCATTTTATTATATTTTATACTAATGAACTTGTAAGGAAGTTTATTTTACACTAATTTTAAAAAGTCCTGACTATGTAGGCAATCCATAACTGTACAGGTAAGTCTCAGATTCTTGGTGTGGCGCTGTAGGAAAAGCACTGGACTGTAACCCGAGTGTTGATGGTTCAAACCCACTAGTTGTTCCTTGAAAAGCCTATACAGAGTTGTGATAAGTCAGAACTGACTCGATGGCACATAACAACAACATAGGTCTGAGAAGAAAGGTCTGGAGATTGGTTTCAGAAAAGTCACAGCCTACGTAGTGCAATTCTACCCTGCATACACAGGGTTACCATAAGTCAAAATCAATTTGAAAGCATTGGTTTGGGTTTTGTTATTGTTATTATATTTTTGTCACATATTCACAATAAAGTACATGGTTGATGCAGTTCATCCTTACTGCCACTAGATGACACTGTAGTTTATTATTCTTGTAAGAATCAAAAGATGCCAGTTCAGAGTTCAATTAAGATGAGGCATATATTGTTAGATGTCATTGAGTCAGCTCCAACTCATAGCGATGTTATGCACAACCAAATGAAACACTACCCCGTCCTGCCCAGCCTCACAATTGTTACTTTTAACCTATTGCTGCTACTGGTTCAATCCATCTTGCTAGGGGTCTTTCTTTTTTTTTTTTTTTGCTGACCCTCCAGTTTATCAAACAAGCATGCTGTCCTTCTCCAGGGATTGGTCCCTCCTAACAACATGTCCAAAGTATGAGAGACAAACTATGTAGGTCTTCATAATCCAAGAATCTGTTAGCTATCAGAATATTCAGTTAAATATGCTGCTCCTTCTAAAGTTATTAGAATTGCAGCATTGCTAAAGCCCGACCCAGATACCTGAAACTGAGCTCATTAGGGTTTCAGAATTCTCTATGACCTTCCTCCCACATCAAGAAAGAAGTCAAGTGCCACTACTCATGAGCAGCCCCAAACCAAAATCCAAACTCCATTGCCCCAAGCGATTATGACTTATGGCATCACAGCAACATGAAAGATATCACAGTACAACAAACTGAAAGAGGAGTGGTAGATTAAGAAGACAGGATTTAGACCTAAGCCCACCTGATTCAAAAGCTAGAGCTCTTTATCCTCTATCTTACACTAAATTAATATTTTATATTATTGCTATTTGTTTCAGATTTGATGACAATGGATATATTGAAGATGTTAATGTAAATTTCATAGTATGGGAGATACATGGAAGGAATGACTATAGCTTTAATACTACTATGAGGAAGGTATGACATATTTAAGTTTAAATAGTACACAATCAGACATTTCTTTCTGTTTTATATCTGTATATAAATTACCTAAGGAAAACAGAACCAGGCAGCTGTAGGTAGAAAAAGCATATCACTTCTATATTATATCTAATGACTACTAAAATTTATGTATGCAAAAATAATCCATTATTTAAAACAGAATTTTAAAGACTCAGAAAAAAAAAAGCAATGTTTATAGGAAGAGGATACAATTGTTGGTTTTTTTCTCTAAACTGTTATTTGATTATTTATAGGTCTGTCTTTGGCTGCAGAACATTTATTATAGTTGTGCTAAATCAGGGGACACTGTTTAGGCTTCATCTCACTTGATATCTGTGCATTATTTGGCCCTGCTAATCACTACACTTTCTTCCCTTGGCTTTCATGTGACCACACTCTCTTGCTTTCTTTGCATCCTCCTTGGCTGGCTGGTTTCAGCTTCCTCAGTGAATCCCCTTTACTCTGCCCTTTCACCTTGCAGGACATAGCAGAAAATCCTGACCACTCCCAGTCACACTTCACTTTCCCTAGGGAGGACTTTCTGCCTTTCAGGCCCTCCCATTTGTGAAGTCTCTCTAGAAATTGCTACCAGAGATTTCAGACTCAAACCAAGCTAGGATGATTCATTCTTATTAGTAAGAGACCTTAATGCTCTAAGAAGTTCAATCCAGTAGGTGAGAGCCAAGAGACCTGATCCCACTTGCCATCTCTCCCATGTCAGAGCTCTGCAACAGCTAGTTAGCTTTTAATTCTGTGACCAAAAATTCCATCCCAACACACATACATCCCATACTTCTTCATAGTTCAATATTTAAGTTCTTCTGATGTACTTGCTCCCAATAGTCTCATCCCTAAACCATTCTATCTTCCTTCACCCTAGACCCAGACTCACAATATTACCTCTCAAACTCTTCCATTACACCTGAAGGGTAAATGCCTCTAGATGATTCTTCAACTGATTCATAAATTCTTGCATCATATAGGGTTATGATATAAGTAGCTAGAAAGTAGCTTTCTAAGCAGGGATTACATTTCCCCACTCTATTTACATGTAGGTGGGTCCATGTGACTGGCTATCTTCTGTCACATGTCAGTGTGTTACAACAACAATTAACTATGGAGTAGATGAGAGCTAGGATGAAAAGGATCCAATTGGGGGGCTTTAAATAGTCATTCAATAAAAAAAGTCTGGGTTCCAAATTTAATGCTTAGAGATGAGTCACCCATAAAAACCATGTAATCAATAACATATGCTTTAAACTATATTTGCCCAAGAATGAAACTTCTATTATGTAAAATCCCTGAGACTTGGGGGATTTATTATTGCTGCAGAGTGAGACTGTCATGAATAATATAGCTCCCCTCTCGTAGCGTAGTAGTTACGAATCAAGCTGCTACCCTCACAGTTAGCAGTTAGAAACTACCAGCAGTTCCGTGGGAGAAAGATGAGGCTTTCTGCTCCTGTAAAGATTTACAGCCTCGGAAACCCTATACAGGGTCGCTGTGAGTTGAAACCAACTCCACAGCACATAACAACAATTAAAAATATTGGTGTGGCACTATCCGATTGGCCATTCAAACTCCCCAGCTGCTCCTTGGAAAACCTATCCAGTATTGCTATAAGTTAAAACGAACTCGACAATACCTAACAACACCAACATTAAAAGTAGAGTCCTGAGAGGACTTCCGGCGCTTCCCTGACCAGGCAGCTAAGGTAGGGCAGTCTCGGGGAAAAGGGGCAGAATTGCACATAAGAAACCTCTGTCTAGCAGACAGACAGCCTTTGAACAAACATAAGATCTTATATTTCAACATTCAGAACTCATTTTTTTTAAAGATCAAATTGCTGAGGAATTACAGCCATTTTAAGCTTTTGCCTGCCTGCACATGGCTTCCGCTTCCACGCCCCCAACGACGAGTGCCTCTGCCCCCTGCAGACCTTGGAATGCAGGGCTACAGCAACCCCACTTAGAAGGCTGCATTTCCAGAGAAAAAGAAGCATAAACTAACAAAGCCGAACAAATAGAGAGGAATATCACTGTGGATATCATGAAATTTCGGGGTACCCACGGTACAGAGACACTGAGAGAGGCATTTGTTTTACGTCATCAAATACGGACATTACCTCCCTGCAGCCACGACCCCCAGCCTTCTACTGCCCCGGCCTAGACCAGCCCTCTGCCAAGCCTCCGAGGCTCAGTAACGCCCAAGGCACAGGCCCACCCACTGAGACCAAGGCCCTCCCAAGGCCCAGATACTCCCACTGAGGCCAAGGCCTGCCCTGAGGTCCAACCTGCCCACAGACTGGTCACAAAGGCCCAGGCCCAACCAAGGCACAAATCGCCTAGGCCCAGGCGGTCCACAGCCGGTTGTCACCAAGGTCCAGGGCCCCCAAGGCCCAACACGCCACGTAGCCAGGTC